GTGCCCATTTGCAGGCAAAAAACCCAAATAACAACTCGGTCTCTTGGGCCCAGGGGCCACTGCGGGGGCCCCTAGACCCAGACCGGTGCTGGGCCCTCCAATCCAGGACTCAGCTCAGTGTCTGCAGTGCCTCCGGCAGTCCTTTGAGCGCCCTGTCAAGAACAGTATACCTCCTGTTCTGGGCTGGATTCTGGGGTTCTTTTCCAATCACCCCAGGCAAATTCAGGGGTGTGACCAAGACGACCTCGTCTCGTCATGAGCTCGTCAGGTCCCTGAATCTGCAAGTCCAGCATTGTTTCCCGTGGTTTACCTGGTCCCCGATTGCTGTCGCCCACGGCTGTGCTATGCAGCCTCACCGTGACTCCCTTCATGAAGCCTCCAGCCTTAACCTTTCCTTTTCCCTGGGTCAGGATCAGGGAGGTGGCTTGCTGATCGAGGGTCGTAAAGGCGAGCATACCCTCGAGGACCCAGACAATGGCCACTCGTGCCAGGCCAAGCTCTTTGACAATCGTCGGCGATTCGTCATCTTTCATCCACACCTTTTGCACTGCCCTCAGGAGTCGCAAGGCGATCCCTGGTCGGTGACCTTCTACGCATGTGCGGACATGCCACGGGCCAGTGCAGAGACCCGTAGACAGCTGCAGGAGTTGAGCTTTCAGCTGCCGGTACTCGGGGGACATGCTTCGGCCAGACAAATCGTCGCTCGTGCTGAACCGTCGAAAGCTCGAGTGGTTGCCCTTGCTGCGACATCCTGTGCCAGGTCCGTGCGAGCCTCCCAGGGAGCCGAGGATCCTGCAGGGCTGCACACCCTGTGATCAGCGCCCCTCAGGTTTCCCCTTTGCTCGAGACAGAGCTTGGCGAGTCACGCTTCGTGACCTACTTTGGAGTGTCGCCGCTGCCCCAGATCTCGTGGAGATTGCCTATGTCAGGTCCGCTGCTCGTACTTCACTTCTTGGATGGGATATCTTCTTTCCTGCTGGGACTGCTAGCCATGGGCTCTACTCTCTCGGCCCTTGTGCGGAGTTCTTCTGACAGTTTGGACACTCTTCACTGCCGGATGTTCCGAGACTTGACCTCATGGGGCCAATTGACAGTTTCGCCCCATCCAGCATTGCCCCGAGTCTACTGTGTGGACGTTTCTCTGCAGTGTTGATCCTCGGACAGGGAGACTTGGCCCCCGGCTCGCTGGATGCGGTAAAGGTTGCTGCGGAAACGGTGGCCGCGCTCATGCTTTCGCTAGGTAGTCGGGTCCTGCCTGTGCTAGCACAGGATGTGTCGGACTGTGAATCTGTCAGGACCGAATCCCAGGGCCTCCGCGGGTCGATCGATGTGAGCTCCTTCGGATGGCTTCAAGGGACCTGTCATTCAGGTTCTCGGCCCTGAATGTCGCCCTGGCCGCGCAGCCCCTTGTACTGCCGTCGCAGCTTCAGCATGATGCTCAGTTGAAGGCTTGGCCTGCTCATGTGCCGCTGGGGTCATTTCAGCCTTCCTTTGACCCAGCTCGAGTCGCAAAGGCCCCGCCTCAAGACCTCGACACGACTCTGTTCAGTCTGGATCGCCTTCCCAGTCCGTATGAAGCCTCTGCTGCCGTGGACGATGATGCAACCTTTGCTTGTCGTGCCATGTGTGTTTTAGGTCCGTGCAGTCGCATCTGGCGGCAGCAGCAAGAACGTGCCCTAGCCACAGTTGTGCGTTTCTTCACCCTGGGATGACGCCCTCAAGTTTCTGATGCCCGCGGATGTGGCAGATGTGGCCGCTGATCGACAACCAGCCTCAATGACGGCTATTGCACATCTTTTGCGCTGGCCAGATAAGTCGGATGTGTGACGGGCTTTAAGCTTTTGGGTCAAATCGAAGCCCCGGGTATTTTCAAGCCCCTCCAAATAGATTTGCCCGCCAAGCTAGGGTTGTCCGCCCTCCTAGGCCCCCACGCTGTTGCTGTTACCCGGCAAATTGAATCTACACTGCCTAGATTTCCCTTTGCTCGGGAGGCTAAGGAGTTCACTAAGGAACAGATCGCGTCCCTTGTTGCTGAAGGCCCATTCACGAAACAAGAACTGGATGATCGCTACGGCGTGGGCCAGTGGATCCCCATGCGTAGGTTCATGCTTCAGCAGTCCAACAAACTCCGGGCTATCGACGACGGCAGGTACAGCGGGCATAACGCCAGCTGTTTTTCCGAGGAAACAGTTTACACGTCCTCTCCAGAGTTTGTGGGTGCTGCTGCTAAGATCTGCCTTCGTCTCCTGTTGCAACAGGAGGACTGCCTTCCGCCTTGGGCGGCTACTGTCTTCGGGACGGTCGATATGTCGTCGGCCTACAGTCTACAGACAGATACCGAATGATCCTTCTGAGCAACAAGCCTACTTTGATGAAGACGAGGGCGAGGTTCGCTACGCCAGGCTCAAAGCCCACCCGTATGGCATGGCCCCGACGGTTCTGAGTTCTGAACTTCAACCGGGTGCCGGCCCTCGTCACGGCCCTCTGTAGAAGAGTGGGAGGCGTGTGTGCGGCCAACTACTTCGGGATCCTGGACTTCGTGGCTGCCCGAGGGAGTGGCCAGGACTGGCTGTGCAAGGCCTACAGCCTGTTGGGCCTCCGGCTTGACCCTGCGAATGAAGCCCCGATCCCTCGCAAAGACATTTTCTGGGCGTGTTCTTCAACCTGTGCCACGTTTTGGACGACATGTCTATCGAAGTTGATCTCAAAGTGGGCCTCCGTGACTCGCTGACCCAGGACCTTCAGAGGCTGCTAGCGGCCAACCGGTGCACACCTGCTAAGGCGGCCAAGTTACGTGGAAAACTGCAAGGGGCGTCCTGTGGCATGTTTGGCCGCTGCGGGAGAGCGGGTCAGTCTCCACTTTTGCAGCGCCAATACGAGGACTTGCATTACGAGCTTACTGATGAGCTTCGTCTGGCTTTAGAGTTCTACTGTGCTCTGCTGGCTACAGTCAAGCCTCGCGTGATCTCGCTCCGTCCCATTGAGGCTCCACCTTTTGTCATCTACACGGATGCCAGCTAGGAGCAGCAAGAGATGGCCATGCCAGGACTGGGCTTTGTGGTCTGCTGCCCAGGTTCCCAGGAAGTCCACGCCGGAGCAAGTTCAGTGCCAGAGGAGGTCTTTCAATCATTTCTGGAGCGCCAGACCCAGATTTTTCCACTGGAAGCGCTGGCGGTGCTACAGTGCTTTGCTGTTTTTCAGCGAGCGCATCTTCATCACTGCGACGCCATCCTGTTTGTGGATAACCAAGCGGTCTGCGCTTCTCTGACAAAGCGAGCTTGCTCCAGCCCTGACGTCGCTACTTTGATTGCTGCTCCACCTCTTGTGGGCTTCCCGAGGCATTCGAGTGTGGATAGAGTGGGTGCCGAGCGATGATAATGTCAGCGATGGCCTTAGCCGTGCTGGCCTTGCTGATGCTTGGACTTTGTGCCAATCCTGGACTGTCCATCAGTACCCCTGCCTTCCCTGGCATGAACTACAGAAAGTGCCTCTGATCGAGCTTCCGGAGACCCCGTTGCTTTGGGAGTCTGCATTGGGTGAGGGCCGATGAAGCAGATGCATCATGCGAATGCAACTGACATCTGACACTACAGCCCGCTGTATTTCCAAAGACTCAGGGCCTCGACTTTGCACTCGTGCCAAAAGGGGAGCCGGAGCGAGATTGATTGAGTCCGAAGTTTATGATGCTGCAACGTACATGGATGGTTGGGTAGGGTGTCGTTGCCCATATAAACTTGTAGACCATTGTGTGCGTAGCCATTGCGGCCGGAGCACACCACCTCCCGATGATGTATCTGACGGGGGTCGGGCCTTGTGAAGCAGATGCATTATGTGAATGCAACTGACATCTGACACTACGGCCCGCTGTATTTCCAAAGACTCAGGGCCTCGACTTTGCACTCGTGCCAAAAGGAGAGCCGGAGCGAGATTGATTGAGTCCGAAGTGTATATGTGATAGATGCAGCATGTCAGTGCAACTAGATTGTGTTTGACGAGCTTTCGGTGCACGATTGACGAATTTGATTTAAGCTGTGATCGTGCAGCATTTCAGTGCGTTTAGATTTGTTGGCACTGAAGACACAATCCGCGTCGTCAAGGATCACATTGAACCTGACAACTGGCAGCAACTGCGAGTTCGAGCCAGTCACAGCGTAAGAGTTAAAGGTGCCACACAAGCTGAGCGAGCAGGTATCGGTATGTGATGGCGTCCCATCCTCACATCCTGGCTTGCAATCCTGAGTTTCGCTGGCCCACCTTGCCTGTTTGTTCTTTCTTTTTATCTCGTTCTGCTGCTGGCCCTCTGAACCTCCAACGGAGGATTAACTAAGAAAGCATCGTAAACCATGCTGAACTTCAACGCCAAGCCGTCTGCAGAGTAAGCTTCAATTTGCGAATGAGTTCAGTCGGCGAAGGCAGCTGAAGACGTTGCGCCCGCATCATGTCCAGGTCTATTGGGCTTTGGGCCTGTTGGAGCCTAGCCCACAAATACCCACAAATGTCCCGGTCCCATGCCAGGGCGCCCGACACCTGATAGCAGCGGCGAGTTCGAACCATGCGCAGCGTAATGTCAGAAACTGAACGATTGGGATCGAGCAGGTACGCGAGGATGGCGTCCCATCCTCGTACTAGTATCCTGGCTCGCAATGTGGAGCTTCGTTGGCCACGACAAAGACAGACCCATGGGCCCACCGCTCTCTTTTTCTGTTTGGTTCTTTTTTTTTTCTCCTGTTGCTCCTGCACCTTTGTAGTTTTGGTTTCCCGCACACCTCGAGAACGGATGGGTTCATGCACACAGCCACTCTTCTCGCGCGCGTGCATACACAAGCACACGCGCACGGACACAGGTAACATGGCTTTGCGCGCGCTGCGCTCTCTCTGATGCCGACATGTGCCGAGCAAGTCTCTGATGCCGACATGTGCCGAGCAAGCAAAACATAGACATGTCAGTCCTATTTAGCCTGATGTTTTTTTGCGAGTTATGGTGATTTTCATTGCGCAAGGTCTCAGACAAGCCTTCAGAGAACCACTACCACTACTTCGACAACCGTGTGCTTCCACCCCATGTTGATGCCGATCTTGCTTATGCAGAGGGGTGGTGGTACAAGCCAGAGTATATCATCAACCACATGAACATCAACTCGGCGATGTTCGAGCCGCGTCACAACTCGTTTGTGGAAGAGAAGAACTTGCCCAAGACCATCAAGGTTTCCGGATACGCTTACACCGGTGGAGGTCACAAGATCATCCGAGCAGAGATCTCCTTGGATTCGGGTAAGTCTTGGGAGATCACTGAGCTCCAAAGGCCAGAAGATGAGATCGCAGAAGCACGTGGCACTGACAAGCACTGGTGTTGGGCTTGGTGGGAGACGGAGGTTGACATGAGCCGTCTCTTGGATAGCGCGTGCGAAGAGATTTGCTGTCGCGCTTGGGATTCCAATCAGAATTGTCAGCCTGTGCAACTCACTTGGACGGTGATGGGCATGCTGAACAACCCCATTTACCGCATCAAGATCCACCGCGAAGGCAGCCGGATGTGGTTCGAGCATCCAACTCAGGGCTCTATGCCAGGCGGCTGGATGACTGATCAAGCGGGGCAATTCAATGAAAGCTTTGCAGTGGAGGCAACACCGGGGAAGACTGGCGTGGCTCCCTTGCGGCCAGTGGCTGCAGTGTGGAAGGGCGCCAAGATAGACTCCGTAAGTGCTGCGGGTGCCAGTTCTACCAGCCAAGCTGCGGCCACTAGGCCCACCAAGGCAGGCAAGTTGGTGCAGTCCACGGAGGAGTGGCTTGCGGGAATCAGCATGGAGGAAGTCAAGAAGCATGACAACGAGAGCAGCTGCTGGTTCGTCGTGAAGGGTAACGTCTATGATGGCACTCCCTATCTGCAAGACCATCCCGGGGGAGCTTCCTCCATCCTTCTTGCCGGTGGTCTCGAGGCCACCGAGGACTTTGAAGCAGTGCATTCCACGCGCGCTTGGGAGATGCTGAAGGACTACTACATGGGCCCATTGAAGGCAGCTTCGACAGAAGCTCAAGCTGCCCTAATTCTACCGAGCTTTGGGAGAGTGATGCTCAGCTTGCTTGCAACGCCGCTGTGGGGGCTGAGAGCTCTCTTCACTCCTTTCGGTGGTCTCCGAGCTCTCCTCAAGCCTTTCAGGTCACCTGCGCCTTTCTTGAATCCACGAGAGAGCCAACAGCTTGAGCTCTCAGAGAAGATCGTTGTGAGCCACGACACCCGGATCTTCCGCTTCAAGCTGCCTTCTCCGTCAATGACGCTGGGGCTTCCCACCGGCATGCACATGACACTGAAGGCCAAGGTGAATGGCAAGCCAGTGATGCGAGCGTACACACCCATGACAGATGACAGCACCAAAGGACATGTCGACCTGCTTGTGAAAGTCTACTTCAAGGGTGTGCACCCTAGCTTTCCGGACGGTGGCAAGATGTCTCAGCACTTGGACAGCATGAAGATTGGGGACTCTATCGATGTCAAGGGACCCATCGGCGAGTTTGTCTACAAAGGCAAGGGTCAATGCCTTGTGAATGGAAAGCCGCGCTTTGTCTCTGAGATGTCAATGATCGCTGGCGGCACCGGCATCACGCCATGTTACCAGGTGCTGGCAGCAATCCTCCGAGATCCGGAAGACAAGACCACGGTGCGACTTTTGTTCGCCAACCGGACGCCCGATGATATTCTTGCACGAGATGTGCTTGAGGAGTTGGCAGCCAAGCACCCTGACCGCTTCATGCTGAGCTTCACCGTCGACAAAGTCCCCTCCCAAGACGAGAATGTGAGCCCCTCTGATGAGAAGAACTCCAAGTCAGCGTGGAAAGGTCATGTGGGCTTTGTGACTCCAGCCATGACCAAAGCCTCCTTGTTTCCTGCCAGTGAAGACACTGTATGCCTGATGTGTGGACCTCCGGTGATGTTAGAGAAAGCTTGCGTTCCAGCTCTGCAAAGCATGGGCTACAAGGATTCCAACATCTTCTCATTCTGAGGTCAGTAGGTGGGGCTCGAAAGGGGCTCGAAGCTCGCTTCTAATTTCGGTCCCAGAAAATTTGTAGGTTTGTGTTACAGGACGTGCCTTAGTGACCTTGGCATGGAGTGCAAGGTTGCAGGCACACGAGCATCATGCTCACTGATCGTGCAGAACAAAACTCGAAGCCAGGATTTTGTGGAAATGCCGGATCTAGAATCTGGACGCCTTGATCTTCTCTTGACTGTGTTGCAGTCCCGGTAGGGAAGATTACACGAATTAGTAAGCATGACGGACTTCCAGCTGAAGATGGACGAATCCAGCAAGGCAGCAGCGGCATTGTTCAGCAGAACCCACATATTCGAGCATTATGTGCATTGGCTGCTTGAGTTCGTCAGGGTCCTTTGCCATGATAAGGTCAGCTATCGCTTGGTTTCCCAGCCGCATCACGGAAGTTTCCCGAGAGCTGAAATTAGTTGCTCTTCTGACAGATCGTTGGCACGCACAGACACAGAACCGGAGAGTATCGACTCTCAAGGACCTTGGTAGTCTGGCTGTGCTTTTTCTGACCTACGGCATGTGGTGAAACATGCGTCAGTTTTCGTAAGGTGGACTTGGAAGACTTGCCAGCGGCCGCCGCAGGTTAGGGCTCAAGTGCAACATGGCGGAATCATCCGAAGCTAAAGCGCCGCTAGTAGACCCGAAGGACGATGTGCATGAGAAGGAGAAGCTACTAGACCCGAAGGACGACGTGAGTGTGAAGGAGAAGCCCAAGGCCGCAGAACCGGTGGAGCCAGCGGAGCCGGCGGAGCCTGTGAGAGAGGTGACCATTTGGGATACCTTCAGAGGAGGTATCACTTCCACTCCTCTCTTGATCTTGGTCGTGGCCATCGGAGCAAACGTCTACAACCGGCGCGATGAATTGGAGAAAGACGGTCAAATTTGGTGGCTCGTTCCGATCATGCTGCTGCTTTCCATGGTCTTTGGTTCCATGCTGGTCACGAAGGTGGAGAACTCCCAGTGGCGACGGAACTTGAGAAAGGAGGTCGCAGCTGAGGAGCGCAAATTGATGGAGAAGAAAGGATTGAGCAAGCAGGACCTGAATGAGGCGGCCTTGAACATGGGTATGCAGCCGGCGACAAACTTCGGCGAGGGCTAGGTCCTTCGGCGGCTGCCCGAGGCTGTGTGCCCGGCATCGACCAGTTGCCACAGGAGAAACCTGCGCAGGGGCTCGATTTCGGGTCAGCAAATTTGTCGAGTTGTGTCCATCCGAAGGATGTCACCACGCGCCTTAGCAGCCTTGGCATGGAGTGCAAGGTTGCAGGCACGCACCAGCATCATGCTCGCAGATCATGCAAAAAAAGCTCGAGCCTCAGGATGTTCTTGAAGTGACGGATCTAGAAGCACACATATGGCATGGGTCGTCTTTCCCAACTCCCTTTGGCTTTGCCAAGCTTCTGGCTCGAAGACCCTTGGCTGCCTAGCCTCTCGCTGTTGACCAATGGAGGCGACCAGGGACGGCAAGATCCAGGATGGCCGGATAGCGCTGTCCACAGCTCTTTGGGACACCAGCTTAGAAATGCCAGGTCGTCAGGATGCTACTGAGGTCGATGCACGGGATGCCAACACCCCGGACAAGTGGATCAAACGTCATCCCGACATGCTACGCAACACTGGGATGCATCCTTTCAACTCGGAGCCACCTCTCAAGAACTTGCAGGCAGCTGGCTGGATTACACCCCCGGCTTTGTATGTGGTCCGAAACCATGGAGCAGTGCCACAGCTTTCCTGGTCCGAGCATCGACTGAAGATTACAGGAGTCCCAAAGCCAGTGGACCTGAGCATGGAGCAGATTGCATCTGGTGAATGGGGCACCATTGTGTCGATCCCAGTGACCTTTATCTGTGCCGGGAACCGGCGCAAGGAGCAGAACCTCACCAAGAAGACAGTCGGTCCTTTGAAAAAATCTATCAATATCGGTTCCTTTTGATTTGAGTTTGTTTTGCTTCACACTGCACTTTGGAGAGTCGCGTGTGGGCCAACAAGGATTCGATTGGGGAGCCGGAGCCGTCGGGAACTCCGTGTGGACAGGAGTCCGCCTGTGCGACTTGCTGGCAGCGGTTGGAATCACGCGGCCTTCGAAAGAGCATCGCTTCGTCCATTTCGAAGGTCCTCTGGGTGAGTTGCCTCAGGGAAAGACGGGATCATACGGCACTTCCATCGATTTGGGCTGGGCGCTGGACAGGGAGCGAGATGTGCTACTGGCCTTCAAACAAAACGGAGAGCTGCTTACCCCGGACCATGGATTTCCCCTGCGCACGCTCTTGCCTGGTTGCATCGGTGGCCGGATGATCAAATGGCTCTCCAGTATGTGGGCTTCTTGTTTGCAAACCCTAAAAACCCGGTTATCATGTCAGCGTCTCTACCTCTACCTGAGTTCCACGAGGCCACTAGAAACTTGTGCACGGGAGCGCGCAGCTTTTGCCAGGAAGGAGCGGGTCCGAAGCAGATCACGGCTCGAACCGTTAGGTCTAGAGTCCAAGAGTCCAAGACCTCTTGTCATTCAGTGGTGCTTCTCGCACAAGACCACGACAGGAATCCAACGAACATGGATACCCCAACACAGATCCTACACTTGCTTGACCTTGTCTTCTCACCTTGCACTTCCTGATACTTCCTGTCTTCACGTCTCACGGTCTTGTGCGTCTGCAAGTTCTAGGCCGCATCTCGTGTCCTCGTTTTCAATGCCCCTTGAGCCTCGGGCTCTGTTGCCTTTGTCTGTAACATCTCGACGGATGTGATTCTTGCGATCATCTTGCAGCATCAACCAACCCTCCTGTTGGATTCAGGCAAACACGCTTACGTTTTGCTCTTGCGCTGCATGTGAACAACCTAACTACTCCGGCTTCAGTATGGATGCGAAAATCATGTCAAGTTTCCGTCGCTCAAGGTCTCAGACAAGCCTTCAGAGAACCACTACCACTACTTCGACAACCGTGTGCTTCCACCCCATGTTGATGCCGATCTTGCTTATGCAGAGGGGTGGTGGTACAAGCCAGAGTATATCATCAACCACATGAACATCAACTCGGCGATGTTCGAGCCGCGTCACAACTCGTTTGTGGAAGAGAAGAACTTGCCCACGACCATCAAGGTCTCCGGATACGGTTACACCGGTGGAGGTCACAAGATCATCCGAGCAGAGATCTCCTTGGATTCGGGCAAGTCTTGGGAGATCACTGAGCTCCAAAGGCCAGAAGATGAGATCGCAGAAGCACGTGGCACTGACAAGCACTGGTGTTGGGCTTGGTGGGAGACGGAGGTTGACATGAGCCGTCTCTTGGATAGCGCGTGCGAAGAGATTTGCTGTCGCGCTTGGGATTCCAATCAGAATTGTCAGCCTGTGCAACTCACTTGGACGGTGATGGGCATGCTGAACAACCCCATTTACCGCATCAAGATCCACCGCGAAGGCAGCCGGATGTGGTTCGAGCATCCAACTCAGGGCTCTATGCCAGGCGGCTGGATGACTGATCAAGCGGGGCAATTCAATGAAAGCTTTGCAGTGGAGGCAACACCGGGGAAGACTGGCGTGGCTCCATCGCGGCCAGTGGCTGCAGTGTGGAAGGGCGCCAAGATAGACTCCGTAAGTGCTGCGGGTGCCAGTTCGGCCAGCCAAGCTGCGGCCATTAGGCCCACCAAGGCAGGCAAGTTGGTGCAGTCCACGGAGGAGTGGCTTGCAGGAATCAGCATGGAGGAAGTTAAGAAGCATGACAACGAGAAAAGCTGCTGGTTCGTCGTGAAGGGTAACGTCTATGATGGCACTCCCTATCTGCAAGACCACCCTGGGGGAGCTTCCTCCATCCTTCTTGCCGGTGGTCTTGAGGCCACCGAGGACTTTGAAGCAGTGCATTCCACGCGCGCTTGGGAGATGCTGAAGGACTACTACCTTGGCCCGTTGAGGGAAGCAGAGGGAGAACCAGAGGCTGGAGTTTCACAGAGCTTTCTCAGCATGCTTGCGTCGCCACTATGGTACCTGGGTGCGGCTCTCCTCTCACCTTTCGGATCCTCTGCGCCATTCTTGAATCCCCGGGAGAGCCAACAGCTTGAGCTCTCAGAGAAGATCGTTGTGAGCCACGACACCCGGATCTTCCGCTTCAAGCTGCCTTCTCCGTCCATGTCGCTGGGGCTTCCCACCGGCATGCACATGACACTGAAAGCCAAGGTGGATGGCAAGCCGGTGATGCGAGCATACACACCCATGACAGATGACAGCACGCTGGGTCATGTGGACTTGCTGGTGAAAGTCTACTTCAAAGGCGTGCACCCGAGCTTTCCGGACGGTGGCAAGATGTCTCAGCACTTGGACAGCATGAAGATTGGGGACTCTATCGATGTCAAGGGACCCATCGGTGAGTTTGTCTACAAAGGCCAGGGCCAATGCCTTGTAAATGGCAAGCCACGCTTTGTCAAAGAGATCTCCATGATCGCTGGCGGCACTGGCATCACCCCATGTTACCAGGTGCTGGCAGCAATCCTCCGAGATCCGGAAGACAAGACCACGGTGCGACTTCTGTTCGCCAACCGGACGCCCGATGATATCCTTGCACGAGATGTGCTTGAGGAGTTGGCAGCCAAACACCCTGAGCGCTTTATGCTGAGCTTCACCGTCGACAAAGTCCCTTCCGAAGACGAGAATGTGAGCCCCTCTGATGAGAAGAACTCCAAGTCAGCGTGGAAAGGTCATGTGGGCTTTGTGACTCCAGCCATGACCAAAGCGTCCTTGTTTCCTGCCAGCGAGGACACTGTATGCTTGATGTGTGGTCCCCCGGTGATGTTAGAGAAAGCTTGCATTCCGGCCTTGCAAAGCATGGGCTACAAGGACTCCAACATCTTCTCATTCTGAGGTCAGTAGGTGGGGCTCGAAGCTCGCTTCTAATTTCGGTCCCAGAAAATTTGTAGACTTGTGTCGTTCCAAAGGACTACACAAGACACAGGACGTGCCTCAGTGACCTTGGCATGGAGTGCAAGGTTGCAGGCACACACGAGCATCTTGCTGACAGATGGCAACAAAGTCGCGAAATGATCACCGCGGACGTGCAGGGTTTTTGGACACTTGGATGTCCTCATGGCTTATGAGTGCTTTGCAGCACTTGCAGGCTGAGATAGATCTCCTCGTAAGCACGGCGGACATCTGTACACACATCGAGTTTGGCGGGCGAGGGTGGGCATGCACCATTTTTGAGCTGAGCCATGTACGGATTGTGACATTTTGGCCTAACCCGGCCGGCAGCTAGAGTTTTCACTGCCAAGTCGATTTTGTCTGCGGAGAACCTGCAGGACTTTGGGGCCAAAAGTTGCAGTTGGAAACCCAAGGAAGGATGGTCGAGTATTGGGCCCTGTGGACTGAGGTTCTGACGTGCTGGTCTTGCAAGTGCTGGGATGTCGGAGATGTCGGGGGGACTTCTGCGGGCACTGCTGGATCACCTCTTGGAAGTCCGTCAGCCGAGTGGAGATGGCAGGTGCAAGTGAGCCCAAACCGAACAGCCAGTACCGTAGCCGGGACAGTGCGGACCTAGCGCCACATGGTGGAGCGGAGGAATGGTACGACTGGACCACACGGCCGTTTGGAGGGCTGCACTCGCCAGTTAAGTCTCAACCCACTGCCGCGAAAGCCGAAAGCTGTCCTCGCCGAGTGGTAAGAACCACACGCAACCATGTCCATCCCGTCGGCAAAAGCTCCTTGAGAACTAAGCTACCAGCCAAGAGCATGGAGGACAGTTTGGACACCTGTGGCGATGCTGTTGCACGTCTCAAACGGAAGCCAACTCATGCTCCAGAGTCTTGTATAGTCATAACAAGTAAATCGCGATTGAGCGAAGATCGGCCGAAGAGCTGTGCTCTACATGATTCCTACATGTGCAATAGGTCATAGTATTCATACTCATATAGTCGTGGTCTTTAGATTCTTGAACACTCCAGACGACCGATCTTGTCGGGGCAGTTCTCCTGCGTGTTGCTTGCTTTTCAGCCTGTGACCTGAAAGAGTGCTGCACGTCAGGGAACTTGAAGAAGGCCGTTCGCTGTGGATGTCGGTCCGCACCAGGTCCCATACTGCCTTAGTGGCCGCATATGGCCGCCAGCATCAGCACTGGAGAACGTTGTGATCTTGCTCTTCACCTGCATCAGCACTGGAGAACGTTGTGATCTTGCTCTTCACCTGATGCTTCAACTTCTTGCTCTTCAACCGCTGTCTCGCGGTGCCTGCGCCGCACGATTTCGTTCTGGGTCTCCTCGAGCTCGAATGCCTCAAATGTTTATGCCTCAGTTCCACATTGTAGCTTGCGTCTTGAGCTGCTTCGCCGCACATTTGTTTTCATACCGTCATCCACCAACTTGAAGTTGGAGCGTCATGTCTTGGAGATGGTGCATGATGGCATCATACCTCATGCCTGTTCGGCTTCATGATCCGGCTCGCCAGATGCTCATGAAAAAGACCCATGACCTTGGCGATCAGATCAAGCAAGAGGGGGCATGCGGCAGTCAGGTGTTTGTCATTGGCCGTACCTGATGGTGGAAAGGTGAGGTGCATGGAGTTATTCGGGAAGACTCCGACACAAAGGACACTGCCGACCTTTTGTCTTCTCTTCTCGCTCTCTCCCCCCTCTTCCCTCCTTCGTTTGTCAGCCGAGCTATCGTCTTTTTCCCTCGCCTGCTCTCCTTGTCCTCTTCGACGACGACCACTAAGGACTCGCCAGCTTTGAGCTTGTTCTTAACAGCAGTGGACTGAACATCAGGGCGTGCACACGAAGGACAGGTTCCCCTCTTATGAAAGGTGTCTGCGTACAACCTGATTTTAAGCTAAGGGTTCTGGTTAGGACTTGTTGGCTTTTCACAGTTTCAGAGGCAGGGGGCTCTGGGAGCCTAACTGGGAGCAGAGCCACCGAAGATGCCCAGTTAGTGCTTGTGAAACAAGGATGGACGCATCCTTGTGTACCTCCTTTTCATTGAATGGCATTAGGCTAAGCCGAGAACCTGCCCGTGAAGCTGCTTCGCTTGAGAGTGTGAGCCCTGTCAGGTTGCAGAACCAAGGCTGCGATGCTTAGGTAATTTCATAATCTTCAAGATCTTCCCTAGAAAGTGTGGGTGGTGGTGTTAACCTATACTCCGTGTGTGTGCGTGTGTGTGGGGGAGGCTGCCGGATGCGCTGCAAGGGAGCGCATCCTGAACATCCGGCATCAGCCCGGTCTCCGCAGCACGTTGGGGCATCATCAGTAGCACAGCATTGGGCCCGATGACGGTTTGTTGCGGGCATCTCCGGGTGCTGCGTGCGCACCAAGGAAGCCGAGCTATGCCAGCGATGCTGAGTGTCCACGCGCTAGATTCCCCAATACCAGCATGGAAGGCCGGAAGATGCGGCAAAACAAGAACTTTCAGGATGTGCAACAGGGGGAGGTGGCGGCATACATTTCCTCCCAGCTTCTCTCCCATCAAATCCGTTAGGGGTCCCATCGGATCCTCTGCACTTGACCAGATTCGTCATGTCAGTTTTGATCACCGTCCACCGCAACGGAAAAACGCTGATCCGATGAAGCAGGGCCGGCAGCCCTTGTTGCTAAAGTAGGGCTTGCAAGCTATGCACGGCCTGAGGCGTTGACGAGCCAAAAGGAAACTTCGCTCTATTTGTGACTAGCTCTGTGAATGCGAGTGAGGCAAGGCAGCGGAGAGAGGGTGAAGAGGGGGTGGCGGCGGGAAGGGAGGTTGTGTTGGAGGGTGATCGGGTTGGGCTTAGGTGTGGTGTGAGGGCGGGAGGGTGGGGGGGGGTCGGGGGCAGCGTATGTGTATCCGTGTATAGATTGGAATGAGTAGGGAATGGACCAGACAAGGTCGGTGGCATTGGCGGGCCTCAGCTTATGCTAGCGTAGGTGTGGTGGGGGGGATTGGGATGTTTGCACGATTTTAGGAGCTGTTTGGAAAGGGATCGAAGCATTTCTAGTTCGCATACGCCATATGCATTGCATTGCCACGCAGGGAAGTCTTCGAAGCTTTGCATGTTGAGTTCGTTTTCTTAGCCATGTTGGCCAAAGATGGGGTGTGCCAGCTCCACAGCTGTAGACGCTAAAGCTTCCAGAGCTGCATGGCAAAGTTTCTTCCGACTGGATGGTCTGCCAGTGTCTTTAACTGTGGAGCAGGTTCAAAAGAATCTGCAGCTTCGCATCGTTGGCTTGGACTGTGCTGAAGAGCTGCCGTTGTTGGAGCATGCGGTGTTGAAACGAGATTTGACGATCAAGTCAGCCACACTGATCAAGATCGGGGCCCATGTGGATCAGAATTTTGAGTTGGCACCGGTTTACCACAGCCCAGTGCGCAAGTACCTTATGCCGAAGAAGCATGAGGTGAATCAAGTCACGGTGAGCTCGAGCTCTGCAGGTGAGGTCCGCGAAGCGGTGCCAACAGCGGGGGCAGCATTACATGACGTTGCAGAGATCATTAAAGTGTTGGTGGACTGTCCTGCGAATGGAGGTGAACGTGGGGCCGTTGTCGCCATGATGCGCACTTTGAGGTACAAGCTCATTGCGGCCCTCCTGAAGACGGATGCCAACGCGATCTCAGATGTTTTCTTCATGACTCCGGATCTCGGGGCCAATGGCCAGTCAAAGACTGTGGACCTTCTGGAGGCGGAGTTCAAGCTGGCAGTCTTTGATCAGTTGCAGAAGAATACCTCGACAATCTCCCGGGCGTCTTCGATACCGCCCCACAAGACTGTGACAGAGCATGTGAGCGAGAAAGCAGCAGACCATCAGGCTCAACACCTGCCCCTTGGGCTGCGGGAACTGCAGAATGGCTTGGAGTACCAGTTGCATGGACCGGTATGCTCTGGTTTGACCATCACTGGCTTTGAGAAATATGTGGGCATTGGCCTAGCACAAAAGAGCCTCAAGGATGCCCTGGGCTTCAAGGATACACACTCTGCGGAATCGAAGCCATTGATTCTGGAAATTCGCACATGTTTTATCTCTGAGCAGAAGGTGAAGAGCACGGGCCAGCTCGCTGAGATTCAGCACTTCTGGGAGCACACCATCATGCAAAAGGACCACCGGAGCATCTGGAACGGTTCCCCGTAAGAATGTATACTCCATTGTACGTTCTGCATATGATCCTACTGCTTTCCCCTTTCAATCAGGCGCTGCAATGTACAGGTTCCATGTTTTTTTGTAGAAAGCCCAAAGGAGCAATACGCGAATTTCGTGTCCTGGCTGGATATCTCGGAACGCACCTGGACGATTGATCGCGTCTTCCTGAACGGCATTCTGCCAGCTGGACATCGATATGGAGCTCAGGCCATCGCAGAGCACCTCTTGGCACCTCCCTTACTCTTTTTCCAGTCGAAGAAGGAGTCCCAGATCAGCTGCTTGGAAGAAGTTGCCAAAGCACCGAAAGCACTTCACAACATGCATGGGAACACGACAATCCGTTGAGTCGCGCTCTGCCTGCGCATAAATGGAGAGCCAGGGACCGGCCCAGTTGCGATGGCCCCCGGTTGATATGTTGCAAATATATACTTGTGTGAAGGAGACCAAGGCTTGTCCCCGTCGGTCTTTCTGCAATCCATGTCTGCTTTCGTCGAACCCCCCTCGAGTTAGGAGCACCTGAAAGATGTTGGCTCGAAATTTGGCAAGTTTGCGCAGTATCGCTTGCGATGTTTGACTACACCCGTCTGCCAAGTCCTAGAAGCGAGGTGAGGGGACATACTATCAGACACGCAACAAGAGCTGTTCCACAGCTCAGTCCGATGCCTTCATTTGAAGGTGCGTGAGCGATAAGCCACGGTTTGCAGGGGTGCAGTTTTCCCCTTCAGTCTGGTGGAAGTTATGCGTATGGGTGTATCTTTCGATGATTTCAAGCATGTCTCTTCTGAGATGCGTTGATTCAGTGGTGTCAGGGCAAGTTTGACATCCATTCCTGGAGTCTGATTTTTCGGTCGGTGTAGCGTGTTTCCCCATGGGTTGGTAAATCCAGTGGTTGTTCCAAACCTGTCGATATGACATCGGTGGCTGGCTGGTTTTCAGTACCCTAAAGATCTTCGCCACATCCGGGCGTGGTCGTGGGTCATGGATGGGTTGCTTGGCAGTGGAAAATGGGTTTTGGAGTTAAGCTGAGGTCCGAGTTCAGAGGCCTTTTTGAACTCCATGCCCGACTTGAAGAAGCTGGTGGTTGCGGATGTGGTGAACTGGAACACCTATTTGCTGATGGCTGTCTGTGGTCTAACAGAAGCTGAGGCCCGGCAGAAGTTGGGTGACGTCTTAGATTTCGCCCTAAGCACCGAGCTGAAGGCTGCGAATTTGAAGAAGGAGACGCTGCTGAAAGGTAGCACATTGGAGGTTTTTCAGAGCACGATCTTGGGGAAGATGGTCTCTTCGGCTTTGAAGCTTTGGAATGAGAAGCTCCACAGATCTGTGAAGATGGAGAGTGCAGAGGTGGTCTACGGAGAGGGTGACGAGGTGATCTTCGGTGAGAGAAGGCCTCGAATGGCCGTAGTGGTGCAACTGGCCGAGGAGCACGCTGAGCTGAGAGCCACACAGAAATTCGGTGCGGTTAAGGAAGTCGTGGAGAGCGAGCGCGATTCGGCAATGCACGGCATGGGAAAGTTCCTGGAAGGTGCATGGGGGAGCCACGAACGAGTCCAGTTTCCTGGCACCAACAATGCACAACAATACTTCGCAGGCCTTTCGAGCGCCATGACATGTTTCATGCACGAGTTGCAAGTGGAACGCGGTCTTTCATGCTATGCCGTGGCTGCAGAACCCACTGTTTTGGTGACTGCCGTGGAGCGTCTGCAGAACCAGCGCACCAGAAGCGACAAGGCTGTACAACAACTCTCCGAGATTTTGCGCCTTGCGCCGGCCCTCCAGGAGAAAGGCTACATCCAAAGCACGCACCTTAAGGACATGAAGCACAGAGTTTCCAACAAGTGTGTAGGGGTGTGTGTGCATGGCCGGGGTTTTGCCACTGGGGGTCTAGGGCCTGGGGGTCATGAGTCGAGGACCTGTTTGCCTTGCAAGAGATCACAGTCGGCCTGGTGTTGCAGAGAGGCCGCGTGAATGATGCGATGCGGCATGTGACGCCCAGCTGGATCAGCCGATACGAGACAGTCTGTATGGGAGACACGGGCTACCATGCTCTCATCGATCGCATCATAAAAACCATCGTGCAAGCCCTCAGCTTCGCGGCAGAAGGCTTGGACTCCCCAGAGGTCATTTGCTCAGTTTGTGTTTGAAGAGATTTTTAATCCGAGGGGTTGTTGTGCTGGAGGCATGGGCAGGAGTGGTTTGTTGGATATCATACTGCTGTCACTCGCCTTTGAGTGTGAGCGAGGGAGGGAGTGAGGTTGAGCGAGAGTGAGCCACAGATGGTGACAGACAGAGTGAGTGACACCCGACTGGGTGAGTGAGAGTGGGTGAAAATGTCCCAGTGCTCTCCGAGCATTGTGCCTGCCACGTAAACAGTCTGAGCCCCAGTCGCAGGCAAGAGGCTCGAAGGGGTTTGGGAAAGCTGAGAAGCTGAGAGATAGAAGTTAGTGGCCACAGTTGGTGATGAGTTGAATGAGTTGACGGCAGGCACTCTGTATGTCACGAATGATCTGCGCGATGAATGGCTTCCGCAATCGATGCGGAGTGAGATGAACCGTGGCGATGAGTGATGTGCGAGATACATCTGAGATAAATTAAACGATTGGTGATGTGCGGCTAGTGAGCTCAGTGGTGATTGTTGAGTTAGTGGCAGGAGAGAACCTGGAACAGATTCAAACTAAGCTCACTTTCAGGCGCATCCTGCGCAGGGTATGCACCCCAGGTGTTACTTGTTTTGCACGGGCGTTTCAACCCCGAGTGGTCTGAGGCCAAGCAAGTCCCGGACCGGTGTGCCTTCCTGCTGCGCTGCAAAGAAGCCGTTGGTCGAGAGCGAGGTCTGATGGCAGCAAAAAGTCGTTCGAAACTGGACGACGAGAGCAGCGCCAAGCAGCTCTTCAAGGAAACGACAGAAGGTGGAGAAGAAGCCTTAAAGCGGATTCTGGAGGATAAACTCCTTGGACCTGCACCAGAAAGCCAGACTCTGTCAGATGCTTTTGCAGAGGCACGCTTGCTCTACACGAACGATGCGAAGGTACCTTCAGACAGGGCAGTGGAATTGTTTGAGAAGTTTACCCAGTGGATTCAGCTTGCGTATGGTCACATTCAAACAGAGATTGAGGCTTTGAGTGAGGACATACCAGGTGAAAGCACGGCTCTAGCCCGTCCTGAAATGCACCTGGGTGTGCAGTTCGAGGAGCAAGTAGATGATGGGCCTCTTGGGCTCCTGTTAGCGGACATGGCTGCCAATGCCTTCAAAAACGTGGTGGTCATGGCTGGGGCGGGCATTTCGGTGTCTGCGAATCTGCCAGATTTCCGATCCAAGGGAGGGCTCTATGACCAGTTGAGGCAGACTACCAACATCACCACCCCAGAGACCATCTTCACCTTGCAATTTCTGAAAGAGCAACCGTTGCTCTTCTACAAGGTGATGCAGCAACTTAGGGCGGATCATGTGTCCCCTACCCTCACACATGAGTTCCTGAAGAGGCTGCAGGACAGAAAGATTCTGAGGAGAATTTACACACAGAACATTGACTGCTTGGAGCGGAAGGTTGGCATTGAAGATTCGTTGCTGGTGGAATGCCATGGCACCACACGAAGAGCGAGGTGCGACGAGTGTCGAACCTTCATCTCTAAGGAAGAGTACTTCGACCAAGCCGATCCACCTAGGTGCAAGTGTGGCAGCGCGCTCCGTCCGGACATCGTACTCTTTGGAGAGCCATTGCCAGAGAGCTTTAACCAACACAAGACCGATTTCCAAAGCGCGGACCTTCTGATCATCATGGGCACCTCCTTGAAAGTTCATCCTTTCGCCTCGTTGCCCAAGCTCATCAAGCCCACTTGCGCTGTGCTGGTCATCAATCGCGAGTTCCCACAGAGCTTGCAGCTGCACCGCCAGGTCCGGACCTTGCGATCGCGCCTGAGCGGAACCAAGCTGCGGAAGCACGTCTTTTTAGGTGGTGACTGCGACACGAGCGTCCGCTGGCTCATGCAAGAGCAGGGTTGGACGCAACGACACGTTCAAGTCTCCGTCTAAGACGGGCCACGGTATTCTGGTCTTGAGCCAGAATAGCTTCAATTGCAGGCTGGAGGCCGCAAACTTTCGTGATGTGCTAGATCTGCTGGCAAGGTTGGAAAACCGGAAATCAATGTACATGCCGAAGTATCCCTCGTTTACCATGCAAGTCTTTCACCGCATAGGCTGACTTATTGACCAAGTGGAGAGCTCCTTTGCGTTTGGACGCCTGTTCCTTTCGTGTGGACTTTGTCCCGTTGGCTTGGGGGCCAGCTTTCTGGCTCAAAGACGCTTAGCTGCCTAGCCGCCTAGCCTCTCGCCGTTGACCAATGGAGGCGACCAGGGACGGCAAGATCCAGGATGGCCGGATAGCGCTGTCCACAGCTCTTTGGGACACCAGCTTAGAAATGCCAGGTCGTCAGGATGCTACTGAGGTCGATGCACGGGATGCCAACACCCCGGACAAGTGGATCAAACGTCATCCCGACATGCTACGCAACACTGGGATGCATCCTTTCAACTCGGAGCCACCTCTCAAGAACTTGCAGGCAGCTGGCTGGATTACACCCCCGGCTTTGTATGTGGTCCGAAACCATGGAGCAGTGCCACAGCTTTCCTGGTCCGAGCATCGACTGAAGATCACGGGAGTCCCAAAGCCAGTGGACCTGAGCATGGAGCAGATTGCATCTGGTGAATGGGGCACCATTGTGTCGATCCCAGTGACCTTTATCTGTGCCGGGAACCGGCGCAAGGAGCAGAACCTCACCAAGAAGACAGTCGGTCCTTTGAAAAAATCTATCAATATCGGTTCCTTTTGATTTGAGTTTGTTTTGCTTCACACTGCACTTTGGAGAGTCGCGTGTGGGCCAACAAGGATTCGATTGGGGAGCCGGAGCCGTCGGGAACTCCGTGTGGACAGGAGTCCGCCTGTGCGACGTGCTGGCAGCGGTTGGAATCACGCGGCCTTCGAAAGAGCATCGCTTCGTCCATTTCGAAGGTCCTCTGGGTGAGTTGCCTCAGGGAAAGACGGGATCATACGGCACTTCCATCGATTTGGGCTGGGCGCTGGACAGGGAGCGAGATGTGCTACTGGCCTTCAAACAAAATGGAGAGCTGCTTACCCCAGACCATGGATTTCCCCTGCGCACGCTCTTGCCTGGTTGCATCGGTGGCCGGATGATCAAATGGCTCTCCAGTATGTGGGCTTCTTGTTTGCACATCTGGGAGAGAGGAGCGTTTATCTCATGTTCAACAGCATTGTTTGTATTGCTGTTTGTAGCTGAAAAGTGAATCGCGATTAATCGCCAATAGGAGAAGCGCGAGGCATGCTTGAATCCGCACTAGAATCAGACGGTGTGTTCGCACCATCTCGCTTGGGCTTGAAAGCGAGCTGCACATCCGTGAACTCCAGACTCTAGTCCCTGTCAACAATGAGTTGCCTTTCTCATCGCTCAACCGGCCGTGCTTCGCTGGAAGCCGGTTCAACTCAGCTCAAGGCCTCTCACTGTCACTTAGAGCATGGAGTTGCGCTCGTGGAACGTGTAGACCCTCCACTTGGCCTCCCTTCGCCATTTTCCAGGATCTCTCCGGGAGTCGTAGTTGGCTTTCCGGTCGATGCCTTCCCAAAAGATCGAAGGAATGCTCTCTCACCACTCTTCAGACTTCCACTTGGCAACAAGCTTGCACTCTGGACAGAGACATGCTGACCCCCCGGTTTGCGTTTTGAACTCGAACCCAGTCTCGCCCACGAAGACATCTCTTGGAAGCTCAACGACTTCGTCTCACAGGGTTCTCGCGTGTAACTTTGCTCGCAGCGAGAGCTCCTAGTGTTTTTGACGCCGAGACGCTATCGCAAGCCTCCAAACCACGGCTTGGGCTCGCAGCTCAAAGAGGCGCGACCTCCATTTCTCCAAAATGTCCATCGCTTCGGGCACTACCAACCATGTTGCGCTTTCTCCGTGCAAGAATCATGTTAACCTTCCCTCGCCCAAGGTATCAGACAAGCCTTCAGAGAACCACTACCACTACTTCGACAACCGTGTCCTTCCACCCCATGTTGATGCCGATCTTGCTTATGCAGAGGGGTGGTGGTACAAGCCAGAGTATATCATCAACCACATGAACATCAACTCGGCGATGTTCGAGCCGCGTCACAACTCCTTTGTGGAAGAGAAGAACTTGCCCAAGACCATCAAGGTTTCCGGTTACGCCTACACCGGTGGAGGTCACAAGATCATCCGAGCAGAGATCTCCTTGGATTCGGGTAAGTCTTGGGAGATCACTGAGCTCCAAAGGCCAGAAGATGAGATCGCAGAAGCGCGTGGCACTGACAAGCACTGGTGTTGGGCTTGGTGGGAGACGGAGGTTGACATGAGCCGTCTCTTGGATAGCGCGTGCGAAGAGATTTGCTGTCGCGCTTGGGATTCCAATCAGAATTGTCAGCCTGTGCAACTCACTTGGACGGTGATGGGCATGCTGAACAACCCCATTTACCGCATCAAGATCCACCGCGAAGGCAGCCGGATGTGGTTCGAGCATCCAACTCAAGGCTCTATGCCAGGCGGCTGGATGACTGATCAAGCGGGGCAATTCAATGAAAGCTTTGCAGTGGAGGCAACACCGGGGAAGACTGGCGTGGCTCCATCGCGGCCAGTGGCTGCAGTGTGGAAGGGCGCCAAGATAGACTCCGTAAGTGCTGCGGGTGCCGCTTCTACCAGCCAAGCTGCGGCCACTAGGCCCACCAAGGCAGGCAAGTTGGTGCAGTCCACGGAGGAGTGGCTTGCGGGAATCAGCATGGAGGAAGTCAAGAAGCATGACAACGAGAACAGCTGCTGGTTCGTCGTGAAGGGTAACGTCTATGATGGCACTCCCTATCTGCAAGACCATCCCGGGGGAGCTTCCTCCATCCTTCTTGCCGGTGGTCTCGAGGCCACCGAGGACTTTGAAGCAGTGCATTCCACGCACGCTTGGGAGATGCTGAAGGACTACTACATGGGCCCATTGAAGGCAGCTTCGACAGAAGCTCAAGCTGCCCTAATTCTACCGAGCTTTGGGAGAGTGATGCTCAGCTTGCTTGCAACGCCGCTGTGGGGGCTGAGAGCTCTCTTCACTCCTTTCGGTGGTCTCCGAGCTCTCCTCAAGCCTTTCAGGTCACCTGCGCCATTCTTGAATCCCCGAGAGAGCCAACAGCTTGAGCTTTCAGAGAAGATCGTTGTGAGCCACGACACCCGAATCTTCCGCTTCAAGCTGCCTTCTCCGTCAATGACGCTGGGGCTTCCCACCGGCATGCACATGACACTGAAGGCCAAGGTGAATGGCAAGCCAGTGATGCGAGCGTACACACCCATGACAGATGACAGCACCAAAGGACATGTCGACCTGCTTGTGAAAGTCTACTTCAAGGGTGTGCACCCTAGCTTTCCGGACGGTGGCAAGATGTCTCAGCACTTGGACAGCATGAAGATTGGGGACTCCATCGATGTCAAGGGACCCATCGGCGAGTTTGTCTACAAAGGCAAGGGCCAATGCCTTGTGAATGGAAAGCCTCGCTTTGTCTCTGAGATGTCAATGATCGCTGGCGGCACCGGCATCACGCCATGTTACCAGGTGCTGGCAGCAATCCTCCGAGATCCGGAAGACAAGACCACGGTGCGACTTTTGTTCGCCAACCGGACGCCCGATGATATCCTTGCACGAGATGTGCTTGAGGAGTTGGCAGCCAAGCACCCTGACCGCTTCATGCTGAGCTTCACCGTCGACAAGGTCCCTGAAGACGAGAATGTGAGCCCCTCTGATGAGAAGAACTCCAAGTCAGCGTGGACAGGTCACGTAGGCTTTGTGACTCCAGCAATGGCCGATGCATGTTTGTTTCCCGCCAGCAAGAACACTGTGTGCTTGATGTGCGGGCCTCCGGTGATGTTAGAGAAAGCTTGCATTCCAGCCTTGCTAAGCATGGGCTACCAGGATTCCAACATCTTCTCATTCTGAGGTCAGCAGGTGGGGCTCGAGGCTCGTTTCTAATGTCGGGTCTCAAAAATACTTGTAGATAGTAGAATTGAATTTAATTTTGTAGACTGTCGACTTGTGTCGTTCCAAAGGATGGCGCAGGATGGGTCTTAGTAACCTTGGCATGGAGTGCAAGGTTGCAGGCACACGTGAGCATCGGCCCGCCTATCGTGCAAGCAAACAAGCTTGAGCCCACGGCTTCTTGATCTGCTGACGACCGTGCTGCAGCATTTTGAAGGTTGAGTGCTCCATTGGTACCAAATGCTTAGCGATGTGTTGTACTTTCAGTATCGAAAGTCCTTGGCGCTATAGTGTGTTGATGTGTGTTGTAAAGTGCGTAGCGCTATGTTATCCTACAGGCTGCACTTACAGGCAGGCAATAGCCATGAGCGGCTAAGCCCGAATGAAGGGCTTTGGAAGCTTTGGAAGCGAGAGCGAGGTTTGCAGGCTCCGCACCCGGTGATATGTTGAATCAACGAGGGGGCGCACGACGCTCGAGCCCCTCCACTGCCCCCCCGGCACTTCAAAGAGAAACGATGACCCGTCACATTTTCAACCCTCGTGTCGGTCGTGTCTGGTGCGGCTGCGATGTACCACGCCTCTACCAAAGTCCGAAGTCCGTCATCGGGGCCGGCTGGATGTTTCTGATGCGCGGGGCGGACCCCAAGCCCGCACCTCCAAATCGAGGCCCCCCTCGATGACCCACCATGTTTTTGATCCTCGTGTTACTGTTTGGGGCGGGTGCCATGCCATGTTGCTGATGCATGTCACCGGCCGCAACCCGTCCCGCAGATGCTCAGGATGCGTGCCCCAACGGACCGGGGCCCGGCCCGGCTGGTGCTCATGATGAGAGCGCCGTCTCTAAAACAAGATGACATGGCCTCGTGCTCCATGACACGCCGCGCTGATTTAGTGTGCTCGTGGGGCGTGCAATGTCGTTGGAGACGGTAAGTTGCTACTGAGTTAATTTTCTAGCTCGTC